AGGCGAGTATCTCAATGAGTTACACATCGGTAATCTGTAAGTTGATTCTTTTAAACTCATTGTAAATATTACTGTTATTCGTGTTATTAGGTTATAGAATTTAATATAGAGATTATAGCTGGATTATTCGACTGTAGACTCTTGAAAACATTTTGAGTTACTTTTTTTAATAAACTAAATAAGTAGTTCCTTACTCTGTGTTTTTAGTTTTCCTGTGGTTCACATACTCTTACCCATTAAATTTAGCTTTAACCCATCAATACAACTAGACATTCCATCCCCATGTTAACTTTATAGCCAGCTTTGTGACCAAAATCGTCGTAGTTGATGTGAGCCACCTACAGATTGCGCTGATCTAAATTACTAAATTCTGCCTAATACACAATCTTTTTAACCAAGTCAAACATAGGGAATGACTTCTGATGAGTTATAGCAACTGTTATGACCCATCAATCAGGTCAGCAACAAAAAATAAGGTATAAAATAGAATTTCAGACAATAGCGTCTGTTTAACTCTGGAAGAAAACCCTCGAGAATTACCACTGATACATCCTGTACTGAACCTAAATTACTATTTCCTTTACTGACCTGGGGCTTTGGTATGTGACAGATGATTCTTTTCAGATCCCTATTCCCAGTGCATTGTCTTTGAAAGACTAATAATTTAAATGATTTTTCTCTAGAGATACTTTCCACAATCACCTACGGCTCGTGCGTAAACATTATTTCCTCTCGTGTGCAGCAAAGGTACTTTTCACTTTTGTTACACATTATATTTTTTCCTGCAATTACTAAAAATCATATAAATAATTAGTCTTCCAAACACTTTATAACACATTTTTAGGCTAGGCTTGAATAAAAAAAAATAAAATGGGAAATGCTGCACCAGCTGATCGTAGTCATGGTATTTTTAAGTGTCATCAACCCATTTCCCAGCGTAAAAGGATTGTGAGCATAATGAAAGCACGTTTTTTGTGTTATTTGGTAGAGAGTGGTGTCGTGTGTGACAAAGAAGAAAACGGCGCGAAAAGTCAAAAGTGTGTGGCGAAGTAAGTAAATGCAGCAATTAACAGCTTTCTGTTCTATAATCAGTGCAAGAAAGCCCACATTGTCAGGTGACTGTAGGAAAAGGTATTGTTCTCTCTCGCACATCATTTTGTCCTCTAAATGCCGATGTACAATTACTGATACTTTTAATATCATTATATATTTAATCCTTTCCCATTACCATCCCAGTTTATTATCTACAGCTAGTTTCATATTAACAATCTTGAAGTATAAAATTATGGGGTGGCTAGTTACTGAACTGATTTAAGACCCTCAAGACTCCATATTTCTCCTCTATCCTACCTTTTCAGGAATCAGTATTAGTTTTGAATTTCCCCTGAGTAACCTTTTCCTCACATACTACACCAAAAACAGCTTACTCCATCATTCCATAAATATATAATTTATAAAACAATCAATATTAATTTTGCCATGTGTGTACATAGAAATGAATCTACTGATTGATGATAACTATTCGATGGATTATTTTAACACTTTAAGACATTTAATACTTTGTCTGAAATGGCGATTCAAGAAATTATCATTTGAAAACTGCTGTGTTTTAATAAAAGAATAGATTCAAATAACTTTAGTAACTCATTTTATTATAGGTGAAAACAGAAAACATAACTGTACAATCCCAAACATTAGAAAAAAGCTGATCAGCTGGTATAACAAAAACGATCCAAGAAATTATCATTTGGAAACAAGATGAGTCATATGCATTGTTTTAAAAATGTTGACACCATTACGTCTACTACATTCTTAGTTGTTAAAAATGTGTCAGTGACTAAAAAATAGTTTAGGAAATAGTAAAATAGATAGTAAAAATACAAAACAGTTAGGTGCGCGCACCGTATTGGGTGACTCGTCACAGTGGCATACAATGTTGGTTAGGTGCGAAGCATTGGAAACAGGCTTCACTTCACTCTACCGTTTGGCGTGCCCGTTCTATTTTAATTCTGTGGTCACTGCCTGCTGGCGCTCTATGTCAATGACATTAAAATCAAGCTTCTATTCATACAATAGGATTGAAAATCTACATTACTAGGCTGGTAACGGACCGATTTTTAGGTTATACGACAGTATCAACACAAGCAGTGCATTTATATAGAGCTCAGCCACATAACATAACCTCAAATGCTGGGAATATGCACCAAAGTCCGCCACTCTACACAACTAGGCTAACAGACCGGATTTAGGTTATACGACAGTATCAACATTAGCAGTGCATTTATATAGAGCTCAGCCACATAACATAACCTCAAATGCTGGGAATATGCACCAAAATGCTGGGAATATGCACCAAAGTCCGCCACTCTACTCAACTAGGCTATTAACAGACCGATTTTTAGGTTATACGACAGTATCAACATTAGCAGTGCATTTATATAGAGCTAAGCCACATAACATAACCTCAAAATGCTGGGAATATGCACCAAAGGCCGCCACTCTACACCAATAGGCTACTAACAAGACAGATTTTTAGGTTATGCGACGGTATCAACATTAGCAGTGCAATTATCTATAGCTCAGTCACATAACATAATCTCAAAATGCTGGAAATATGCACCAAAGTCCGCGAATCTACACCGATAAGCTATTAACAGACCAGTTTTTAGGTTATACGATGGTATCAACATTAGCATTGCATTTATATAGAGCTCAGCCACATAACATAACCTCGAAATGTAGGGAATATGCACCAAAGTCCGCCACTCTATACCACTACGCTATTAACAGGCCGGTTTTTAGGTTGTACGACGGTATCAACATTAGCAGTGCATTTATGTAGAGCTAAGCCACATAACATAACCTCAAAATGCTAGGAATGTCCACCAAAGTCCGCGAATCTACACCGATAAGCTATTAACAGACCAGTTTTTAGGTTATACGATGGTATCAACATTAGCAGTGCATTTATATAGAGCTCAGCCACATAACATAACCTCAAATGCAGGGAATATGCACCAAAGTCCGCCAATCTACACAACTAGGCTATTAACAGACCGGTTTTTAGGATGTACGACGGTATCAACATTAGCAGTGCATTTATGTAGAGCTAAGCCACATAACATAACCTCAAAATGCTGGGAATATGTACCAAAGTCCGCCACTCTATACCACTACGCTATTAACAGACCGGTTTTTAGGTTGTACGACGGAATCAACATTAGCAGTGCAGTTATGTAGAGCTAAGCCACATAACATAACCTCAAAATGCTGGGAATATGCACCAAAGGCCGCCACTCTACTCAACTAGGCTATTAACAGACCGATTTTTAGGTTATACGAAAGTATCAACATTAGCAGTGCATTTATATAGAGCTAAGCCACATAACATAACCTCAAAATAATGGGAATATGCACCAAAGGCCGCCACTCTACACCAATAGGCTACTAACAAGACAGATTTTTAGGTTATGCGACGGTTATCAACATTAGCAGTGCAATTATCTATAGCTCAGCCACATAACATAATCTCAAAATGCTGGAAATATGCACCAAAGTCCGCGAATCTACACCGATAAGCTATTAACAGACCAGTTTTTAGGTTATACGATGGTATCAACATTAGCAGTGCATTTATATAGAGCTCAGCCACATAACATAACCTCAAAATGCCGGGAATATGTACCAAAGTCCGCCACTCTATACCACTACGCTATTAACAGACCGGTTTTTAGGTTGTACGACGGTATCAACATTAGCAGTGCATTTATGTAGAGCTAAGCCACATAACATAACCTCAAAATGCTTGGAATATCCACCAAAGTCCGCGAATCTACACCGATAAGCTATTAACAGACCAGTTTTTTGGTTATACGATGGTATCAACATTAGCAGTGCATTTATATAGAGCTCAGCCACACAACATAACCTCAAAATGCTGGGAATATGCACCAAAGTCCACGCATCTACACCAATAGGCTACTAACAGACCGGTTTTTAGGTGATACGATGGTATCAACATTAGCAGTGCATTTATGTAGAGCACAGCCACATAATATAACCTCAAAATGCTGCGAATATACACCAAAGTCCACCACGACCGATTTTTAGGTTATACGACAGTATCAACATTAGCAGTGCATTTATATAGATTTACAAGTGAATATATAACTGAAATGTTGATACCAGAGTGCTCCAATGTTGATAGTATCAACTTTAGACTGAGTATCAACAAGAGTAGGTAAGATTTAAGACAAGTATCAACTTAAGGCCCACTAGTATACCTATATATATATATATATATATATATATATGTGTGTGTGTCCGTCAGCACGATAACTCGAGCAAAAATGATCCGATTTTGATGAAATTTGGTACAAACGTGTAAACCTACGTCTATTCGAACGAGTTCGCGATCCAGCATGATCAGACCATGGGAACGGGTGTTTACGGGGGGTTTTATGGGGTAAAAATAGGTTTTTCCCAATTTTGACCCAAAAAACATAAAATTTAGCAATTAATTTCCAAACCATTTTGTAGAGCTTCAAAAAACAAATAATTTAGTATATTGAAGCGTTATTATGCGCCTAATGGTTACGGAGAAAATTCCAAAAAATTGTAAATTTAAAATTCCCATGTTATTCTTATGGAGAGTGAGTAAACTGTTGTAGTTTGCTTGTTTATGAACATATTTTGATCAAATTTGGAAAATGTTTTTATTTCTTACTAACTATTAACATTTTACAAAAAAAAAAAAAGTTTTACCCTCCCTGATGCAGCAAACCTAAGTACTTGTTAAACTAATTCTATTTAAATCGGGAATAAATGTTATGTCTACTTAAAAGACATTTCAGTGTAAATCCAATCAGTCAAATGGAAATTCGCTCAGTCTGCAGGTTTGCTGCGGCGGGGGTATTTATTTTGTGTGTGTGTGTGTGTTTTTTTTTACTGTTAGAATCACTTGTGTGTTAGTGTGTACTAAACTCTAAAATTGTTTACAGCGAAGGACTTTAAGAGGTGCAAAAAACACGACCCTAAGCTCAATGACTGTCTGAAGGATGCCATACAGAAGGCGCTTGTCTCGTTGGAGAAAGGTATGTTTTTCTTTCAGAATAATTCATTTTACGTTCTCAAACTAGGAAGTTTCGCTTCATTTATGTTTTTGCAAAGTTTCTTTATTGATCCAAAATGATTAAGATTTTTTTACTTATTAGCCCAAACAATTCAAATCTCAGACCCGCCTTTTAAGGGTGTAGGTTTCAGTACGGTAAAAATACAAGCGGATTCGTAAATTATGGATATAAAAAATCAGTAAATAATGCATGTGTGTTGGGGCTATATAACTGAGTGTAATTATTATAAAAATTAATATATATTAATTATTTATTCAATTTCCTTGTTTGAACAGACGTTGCTAACCAATATACAAACATATTAGCTATGACATTTATTCGAGGAATCTTTCATTGGATGTGAATTGTGCAAGGAGACTTTTCATCATTTTGTATTCTTATGTGTGTTTTATGTTAGTTACGTTTGAGGTTTGAGTAATGTGATCAGATTTCAACTAAATGGTGATTTGTGGTTTTTATTTTTGGTTATAATATCAATTGAGAAAGTTAATAGCTAATTACTTTCGGTTTAAACAGGTAATTTTAAAGATGGTTGAACAACAAGAAACAAAATAGTAAACAAATCCCCCTTTACATGAATTAGACAGATCTTAAATAATATAGGGAACATGTTTAATCTATACTCCGAAGTAAAGAGTGTTCGTCTCTATATTTTACTCTGTGGTACCAGTCCAATCGATTATGTGAAAAGAACTCCCGTCATTTTCTAAACAGAAACATTCGCGTACATAATTTCTCATAGTTGATTTGTATTCCCAGCTTGACTTTACACGACTGAAGATCCCTAATCAATACAGTCAATTGAAATTCGCAACAATACGTGAACGAATGGCAGATGGTTGACCGTCGAGCATGACATATCATATAGTATGAGGAGCGTACGTGCGATCAGTCATGACCCAAGGTTGGCACGGTTGCGACTACCGGTATTTACTCAGCAGTTCGCACTACTTGCACGTGTCGTCAAAATCGCCGGACTTCCGCCTATTAAATGTCCAGTAGTAAGTAGTGCCTAAAGTGATCTGCCGATTGGCTTTAATGGCGCCGTTATGATCCGGAAGTAGAGTGAGTAAATTAAAAGGGAGTTCTTGAATTCTCACGAAGAAACAAAACAACAATTATAGACAAAGCTTAATCATGCAGTTTTCTATATTAATTGAAGTTTTAAGTGTCATAAGTAACCTTTCACGGATGCAATAGTCAGGTTGGAAGAGTTCTGGCGACCCATATCATCGGGTTGTTGACCTAAACCTAGGATCTAGCCTGTTTAATATTTATTTGTTCGAAATTCCAAGGCTTGACGTCAAAGTTACCGGTTTCAGTTTTAAAAAACGACCTTGTTCGACCAGCCTAGGAGACTCTAGCAATATCTGTGTCGCAGACGTGCCGAAGAGGAGGTTCTCAATGGAGCTGGACTTTCAGATATCCCGAGTCCGGTTAATAAAATATTTTGTAACTAAATTTAGGTTTTACGTCTAAAGAAAGTCTATCGTTGATAAAAAAAATCCATTTTGATGCCTGTGTAGCCTATCTTAGTTGCTTGTAGCATAGACTACCCTTGGAACTCGATCGGATACCCCATCCCATCTACAAACCAGCTGATGCCAGTTACTTACTCAAGCCTAAAATTGAACATAATTACAGGAGCCTATCACAGAGTAATCCATTGTGAAAATTCGTTCTCCATTCGTTTTCGATTCCATAGTAGTTGATATGACACGAGAGTTGAAAAAAATGCCCTTATTGCTTGGCTTTGTTAAAGCAGATGCATATGACGGAAAACAACTAAGTTATACCATATAAAATCAAAATCTGTTATATTTAATGTATTTTAAATAATTTTAAAATATGTACATATTTAAGAATCTATTTATATATTGAACTTGTGTAGAATTAAATAAAATAAAGTAGGTATTTTTGGTGGTAGTCTGAATGCCACTAGCAATCAGTGCCGCTCATTCTTAAACTACAGACTCGCCCTGGCTTTGCTCATTTACTTTCCTCGCACATGATTGAAGCTCATGTGAATGGGCAAGTTCAAGCAAGGGTAACAGAGTAACTAAGCTCGTTCAAGATGGTTAAAAATACTCTTATTATGTAAAAAGTAAAGCATAAATTTAAAATCCACCGTTAAAATTATGGACACGCATTACTTTAAAACGTAACAAATATGAAAAACAAATCAGGTTTAATATTTACAATATGAAGATAGGTCTACGTACGCTATTTAATTTGAAGTCAAAGACAATGGTTTATTAATTGTTGGTCTAAGCGACAAGCGTTTTGACAGTGGCAAAGGATGGGCAAAACTATACATCCAACCTAGTTTCACGGCCCTGTTCCACTAACCTTCTACCATTCCGATGTTTTAGTGAGTGTTTATTTATAGTTTGTTCTCGAACATCCGTAGGACAAACTAGTTTTTCTACAAAAATTACGAAAATAGTTTTGAGGTTATGCTAATTAGGAATGCTGGGGACGAGTTGAGGAGTAGTGAGGTGGCGGTTTTGGCGGGACCTTGAACCTGCAGAGTTGTGCCCAATAAACAAACTTAGGTTATGTACATAGATTCCGGTAAATATTGGTTGTTGTTTGCTATGTAAATGACTTGCGAAACATTGGTCAACATTAAACGGTATGTGTATATGGAAATCTGAGAGAACATTAGAGTTTCTTGGAAGTAAGTTATTTAAAGAGGTAAATAGAGGGTGTTGTTAACACACGGTACATGTGCGGACATATTCGGACCATTATGATGAAAATGAGTTTTCTACGAAGTCTTGTTGGAACTTGACGGGACGGTGATGTTGTCGTTCCTTCAAATACATTTTACTTACACACAAAAAGAGAGACAGTTTTTATGGTTTAAAACTGAATACAGCTCCCCTGATAATTAAACGGCATTTGCTGAATAGTAACAGCTGGTCCTGATCGGTCATCAGGTACGAAAGGAATTCCATTATAAATTCGCCCTTCAATTTGCATTAAGCCAGACGAACAAAAGCTGTCTTCTTAAGGAAGGTCAAATAAAATCAAAATCAGGTTTATGCACATAATAAACAATACACAAATTTACAATTTTATAAGATAGATAAAAAAACAAAATTTAAATCAATATAGGTACCCCCAATTGACATAAATCTCGCAACAAAAAACATAAAACATAAAGAACATAAGGACTTAAAACAAAAGTAATAAAACTTCAATACTTTTAAGGGGAGTTTTTTTTAATAACATCAGAAAAAGTATCTAGCTGATAGGAAATGAGCCAACCGCCAATCTTAGTAGTCTGTACAAAGATTTAAACTGTAAAAATATGGGTTTGTAATAATTTCGATTTTTGAAACGACAATTTCTTGAAGATGAACCCACACTGATGGATTACACAATCTCACGCAATTCATATCAAGAATGAAGGCAAACGGCAAGGGTTTTAACCTTGCAAGTTCCTGCTCCAGTAAAAAACTTCTTTGGAATGCAAAGTGTAGAGTAAATGTGAGCAATGAGGAAAGACCATTTAATTTGTCTTAGCGGCGTTTCCTCTTCCTACGTCTACACACGCGTGCGTTACTCAAGGTCACAAATGTTTGGGATAATAGACAAGTTCTGAGAAAACGTGAGATAGAGCAGCGTTTCCTCATTATTATTATTGTCACAACGCTACACAAAAGGAAGTTAGTTAGTTTGGGCTGTGCGTGTGCGGGAGGTCACTTGACAGAAGTTAAGGACCGAGACTGATATTTCCCGGTGGTTCTTGCGGCTTCCTTGGTCAAAATGTGGCGAGCATTGAGGAGATTTCAAGATTAAATTTGTACAACGATCCACTAGAGTTGTGTATTGGCGAAAATGACTGAAGGATGAGTGTTAGGTGGATAAGATAATAAGTGGTTTTACTGACTAAGATAAGCTGGTTCTCGGTATTTTGGACCACTGATCAAGGATAGCTAGGTCAAGTTTCAAACCATAAAAAATCCACTGACTACTTTTAGGATCAAACACCAACGTCCTTCTGGTAGGTAGGCAAGCACTATAACTACTCAACTCCAGTTATTTTAGGACAAAGCCCATTTAGCCCAGCGACAAATTAATAACATATGTTGTTCTTTAGTTCATCTCACACACACTTTTCGAAACAAGTATTAACTTAAATTCTGTCTGTCTGTCACGTCCCAGAAGTGCTGCTTGTGTGTGTGTAGCTGGTTTTTTTTACAGTGGATTTAGAGTCACTGCATAATACTCTTAAGTATTCTTGCACTTGCCACGTTGCAAAGCATGGGTAGAACAACTAGTTAATTGTAACAATATCTATAAACTTTGATTATCCTTTTTTATTATTATAATCAAACAGTAAACTACAAATCAGAAAACAGGAGCCACATATGTAATAAGCCTACCTGTGCACTCAAATGTAATCAGCATGAAAAAAATTCAAAAAAGATACTTTTAAAAGTCAGTTAACTCCATCTATCTGCTATCATTTATTTCTGATTACACATATAAACTATCCTAACCATACTAACACCTTGTCAGACTAGAGCATTTATGTCCAATAACCTCCAAAATATTGATATCAGACAGTCATGAGACCAACCTAAAGTGTTTTCTTGTTGTAGGAGCTCCGTCCCTGGGTGTGTTGACTATAGACCCTCTAAGGGTGTCCTCTCTCACCATTGACCAGGGAAGTGGCCCAGTTAGCATCAAGTTGGACTTCAAGAACCTTGACATCCATGGTCTGGCCTCCGCCAAGTTAGATAAAGTCAAGTAAGTGCAGTCTTTCTCTACCTTATTAGTGTTATTTTTAAATTTGACTTTGTGATTCTGCAGTCACATAATTACAATAAAATTTTGTTTCAAAAGGTCTCATGAAGAATTTTCTTGTGAATTTCTGAGTTGTGGTTATATTTCTTAATTCTAAACTCCTCAAATATCATGAAAAAAATCTTAAGTATTGAGCTCAAAAATGTTTATTTTATAAGCATTAATGAAGTAAAATGAAGGATTTTAGTCTTAAAAACAACCAAATATCCATGCATATTTAGATTAATCATGCTGCCTTAAATGTGAGGGATGAGAAATTAAATGAAAAATTACATTGAGAAGTAAAGTACCTAAGAACTTGCTCTCTACCACCTAACCCGTACACCTTAAATAAAACTAATTGTTTAAAGAAAAAAAAGTAAATACTACAAACCTATAAGCATGATTAAATTAGAGTGATGAGGGTAAGAATATATAAAGGTTTTTACTGGAATCATTTCTTATAGTGGAATAGTATAACTAACATTTACTCCAAAGTCATTTTGGGTAAAAAAGATGTCTTTTCCACAGGGTGGACTGGGACAAGTACTCAATAGAGGCTGAGGTCACGGTGCCGAAACCTGTCAGGCTGATGGGAAATTACAAGATTAACGGGAAGGTGCTGATTCTCCCCATCCAGGGCAATGGACTCAGCAATCTAACATTAGGTGCGTACTGCAGCAATATTAGTGACTAAATCAGGATGGTGGGTAAAGAGGGAACAGGGAAAGGATCCTACGGACAAAATAACTAAAGAATCAGTGGTGCCGAAAAATGTGTTCTTGTGCTCATTCCAATTTAATTGAGAGGCTACAATTAGCATTATATGGACTAGCAGTGAAGATAGAGAACTGGCGGCTTGTTCTAGGAGTTTGAATGATCCTCTCTTGCAAACTATTTTAATGTAAAACTAATACATATTTTTGGACTGTCTAAAAGTCAGCATATATTAAAAATAGATTTATTTGTCTCTTCAATCTTCAATTTACCCAATCAAAACAGTGACACAAATTAATACAAGAAAAAAAGGAAGGCACACATTTTGATAGTAAATGAAGTACAAACATATCTGTTTTCCATTTAAAATGTTATGATTTAAATAAAACACTGCATACTAGAAACTTATCCATTACAAATGCAGTAAGGGTAAGTTGTGACCACGTTGCTCGTTTGTGTTTTTATCTGCTGACATTAGACGACTACATCACTATGGTTTTCTTACAGAGAGTGTAAAAGCGAAACTAACACTCAAGGGCAAGGGATTGAAAAAGAATGGTCAAGAACACATGGACGTTGAGAAGATGAAGTTAGAATTTACAACACAAAAGCTGCACATCTCCCTCAGCAACCTGTTCAACGGGGACAAGCGTCTTGGTAAGTAACTGTTGTGGTACCTCTTCTTTTCATAGTTAAATCAGAGGTGCCAATCCCCCCAAGGCCAGGGGCGCAAAGCCCCCCCCCCCCCATAGCATACTGCTCCTTTGTTTTCAACTATTCTGGTCCATCCTCCCAGAATCCATTCATACTCTGTGTGACCCATTTAAAAACACATGGAAAATTAGAACAAAATTCATACTTACTTAGCAGCAGCGTCAATAGTCAAATTTCTCTGCCATTGTAAACAACTAGGCCTATGCTATGAAAACACTGAACATGACAATATAGTGGTGAGGATCGTCTAGAATAGTAGTGGAGGGAATAAAGAACATGGAATAGTGTTGGGTTGTTAGGTTTGTCCTAACTTACACCATCATTGTTGTAGGTCTTGATTTACGGACCACCATAAATTTAGGCCTACTTTTAATCATAAATGATTGTCTTAGTGAAAAAAATTTGAACTGAAACTAATTTCAGGTGACAACATGAACACATTCCTAAATGAGAACTGGCAGGATATCTTGAAGGAGTTGCAGCCAGCCATCGAAGAAGCTCTAGGACAAACTTTCCGCATTGTCGCGAACCGAATCTTCCATAAAGTTCCGCTAAACCAAATATACATAGAATAATATTTCTTTAGGGTAAACACTGAGAAGCATCACACATTGACTATTCAAAAGGCTGTGATATGAGGGTTCTAGATTGTGGCTAAAGGCACACCTGTGCAGCTCTTACAGTAAATTTTACGATGAGTGGGAGAGTCATCAAAACTAGAGTTTCTAGAGATGTGGACGAGTTTATACAAATTTGTTAGAAAATAATGTGAGGTGTAAATGATAATTTGTAGATTTTTATTTTCATATTTATTCTCTTGATTTAGTATCTATGAAATTATAAAACGATGGAAGCTGTCACTCTTTTTAAAGAAGGGGGAAGTAATGATTTAAATAGAAAACATGTTGGTCATTCTAATATTGAATAAGTTATATTTGATATCTTTATAGCTCAGTTTAGTCCCTAATGAAAATTGAGATTTATTTGGAAATAAAAAAACCATTTTAGTTGTTGAAAAGTCAACAACCCCACCTCAACATTCGACAGAGTATACTGTAATGCATTGTAATTGTTATTTATTTTTAAGTCCATGTACATAGTCATTTACTGATGTAAAACACAAACTAGATTAAGTAAGTACAGGACACAAATATACTTTTAAGTGGATATTAATGTTGTTTTTATTAATCCTTAGCTTTTTTATTACTTCTTAACTTTCAATTTTCTTCCTGCTAAATTACTTATTCTTACTGTTATTTTGAGTTGTTTGACAAGAATGGCAACAAAGATTTATTATTTGATATTAGGTATTGTACTATTATTGTACTTTAAATATCTGTTTTTTTTTTGTTTTTTTTAGCTAAGGGGTGAGTTTGAGAATCAAAAGTAAGAAAAGTCAAGCTGTAAGAAAAGTAATGATTTTGTTTTATTTAAAGAAATCTGCCAAATCTATACCACCAAAAATATGATAAAAGTGTTATTATCTGATAGACATAGCTGAACCAATGAATACAAACCCTTTAAGAAAGACTGGAGTTTTTCCGCCGAAATGAGATACGCGTAGCGGCTGCTCTATCGCTCTCGCTCTATCTCTACTCTGCCTCACTCTCTATCACTCAGTCAACTAACTTGCCTGCAAGTGCCTGCACTAACATGTATGACTAACATGATGCACTAACATGATTCGATATATTTGCTACCTGGCAGTCGCCGAGGGAACTATCCTAATATTCACAGACTGAATTTTTATCAAAGGCATTGCGCTTCTTAAGGGTTTGTATTCAATGGCTGAACTGACTCAGGATGGAATTTAAGAGGTATGATGAAATGATGACCTTCAAAAGTTTTTAACACCTCAAAGCAAAAAATAGGTGTAAAATTAGTCTTTTGGGAAGGTATGTAATGGAAAACAGTGAAATAACAGTCATATATATTTTTATTAAAAACAACAAACATACATTTGATTTGAAAATATATGAGAGACAACTTCTAAGATATATAACTAATAAATGCCTTTTAAAGGTAAGTATTCAATTAACTAAATGCTATTATTAGTTATTACACAAAAATATTGTCAAAAGTTTCCTTTTACTTACCCACTAAAAATTAAATACGAGTATAATGCATTGCTTTTGTTATGTATACACTACATAGTACATTTAAATAGATTTAGTTAGGAAATTATTTTATGGAGTTTAAAAGACAAAAATGCTTTAAGACCATAGAAAATGTGTAAAATTGGAGGTTATTGAGTTACTTACAACAGTGAGAGAATGACATAATAGCAACAAAAATAAACACATTTAAATTCGATATAGAGTCATGATAACTTTCATAAAATTACCTGGATCAATACCAATAGTATTTCAAATGTAAACAATTTGAGAAATTTCCAACTTTAAGCAAAAATACCTTCTTTTTGGTACAACTTTTGTAAGCTACATAGTAAAATTAAGTAGAAAATCGCATGAAATGTTACCAGATGATTGTGAGTTCTAGTAGGCAAAGAGTTCAGGGAATAGCACCTCGTAGACAGGGGGTTGTGAAGGCTGAGAGTGGGGGTGAGGAGACGTAGGGTTGGAGGGGGTTAGAGGTGAATTCACTGATGTAGACAGTCGGCCGAACAATTCACTCAGTTTACTCTGCAGGGAATCTTCTTCCTGTGAAAAATTACATCATTAAACTACTTCTTAAAAGTTCAGTAGAGTACAGATTATCTGACTGCTCCTTTCATACTACCCAATTTTGCTAGGAAAACACCGTCTGGACAAACAATCATAGGTCTGTTGCTTCCACACTGAGCCGTTTTTTAACTGGACGGGTAAAAATTAGACTTATTTATTCTGTGAAACGTGTTGTATAGTTAACAATGGAATTTGACTATTGATACAATTAGACATTCCATCTCCTTGTTAAAGTTGTCGCCAATTTTAAAATCAAAATCGTCGTTGATGTGAGCCAACGACAGAATGTGCTCATCTAAATTACTAATTTCTGTGTAATACACAAACTTTTTTACTAAGTTAAACGAATGGAATGACTTATTGGGGGCTATATGAACTGTTACGACCAACCAACTGAGTCAGGAACAAAAAAATAGGTAGAATTAATTATTTCTGATGTCAATGGGTTCATTTAATAAACTTTACTTTTCATTCATCAAGTGAACATAAAACTTCAGTTTATTCATCTTTAAAACGTTTTTAAGCCAAGATTTCTTAATTTCCTTCCTCTCATAATTTCCATCAGTCGAATACAAATATTTGGCCAGGCAAAATCGGGTAGTCTGAAAGGAGCATATACTCTGCATACATAACATAGTCAAAGCTATTGTTTTTCCTCCCTTCCCCTTACCAACCTTACTTTCCCCGTGACAAAGTTTCGCCACTAGACACTTTCACGCCCGCTCTCTAGCTCCCAACCCTAGTGAAGCTCTCTACACATCCTATAAGCGCTGTAGCATTTTTTGAACTTTAAATTAATGTAAATCTACTTTTTGTTTAGAAATTATGATATCAAACAAAAATGTCATTATAAAAGCCAAACTATCCTAAAATCATTGTGTACTCTTAAAAAATCAGATAATAAACTATTAAATTTACTAAATACATGTCTTCCAGGTATTCTTAGTTAAGAGGTCTAGGCAAGAATGGGTTCGATTTTGTTTTTGGATAGGAAGTTACCTTGGATATACCTATTGTACTCTATAACACAATTATAATCTTCCCTTCTCTGATTGACAAAGTGGTCAGTGACGATGCAATATTTCAATTTTGTATTTGTTTATTTATGTGTTACCTATTAATTGAGCACCCGCTGTAAAAGTAGGCCAGCTCTTTCTCACCAAAACATAATCATTTTTCCAGTACAGACATCAGTTCAACATTTTGGTTCATCAAAATCTTTGAACTAGCCCCTTGGAGTTTGCATTTCTTTGTCTAGAGTAGTTCATACGAGTTGACTCTCAAAGGTGATTCAGAATGCCTACAAATAAGACCACTCCAGCATGTACTCACCCTGGAGGTGGTGAGGTCGACCAGTTCGTTGAAGGGAGTAGTTCTGAACCTCTCACACAACTGTCTCTGTCTCTCTGCTTCCTCGTCTCTCTTTACCTCAGGACTCTCAGAGAGAACACGCTTCATCGCCTCAAACGTCAACTCCTCTTCTGGATATTTCTGTAAACAATTGAAATATGAATTAACGTTCAGTTTTTGTAACCACTCCAACCAGATTAATCAGTCCGTCATGTAATCCAATGCCCGTATAATCCGTCAAGTTTATTAACTTTTTGATGTGTGATTCTGATTCGTGTCCAAGTGTTCCTTCCACATTTTTATATTTCATTACATTTCAAATTACCCAATTGTTGAAAAAGTAAATATACGAGACATTTTTTTTAAAGTAAGTTCCGTTTTTAAATTTCTTCGGCTGCGATTGGCATTTTGGACATTTGCGCTGTGTATGTGCATCTATTGGCAAGCCTGCACCGTAAATTCGGCAAAAATCGGCCAAGTTTACATCCGGTTTCGAGCATTTAAAATGGTGCCGCCAACTGTGAAGTGCGTGCTGTAATTAGATTTGTAACTGCTAGAGGTGTGAAAGCCATTGAAATTCATCGAAACATTAGTGAAATGTATAACGAGAACATTATGAGCGACGAAATGGTACACAAGTGGGTAAGGGCATTTAAAGACGGCCCCACTAATGCACTGGGTGGCGTCATTACTGTCACCAGTACCCAGTGCGTTGCTCATCATGAAGCATTCTCCAGTTAAGTTTATTCACATACATACATATCTTCAGAAGATTTTTAAATGCAGTATGTAATGTATAAGAATTATTTCACTTTGTACTTTAACACAAATAAAACATTCTTACATTTACACAATGAGTAAATTAATAGGTTAGTGAAAATCTGCGCCTAGTCACACTATAGGTTGAAGTTAAGACCCACCCTTTGTACTCCAGGGGTGGAGGTAGCACTGTCCAGCTCCGATGAGATGTCCACAATACTGCCTTTGATCACAGCTGTGTTCTCCACCCAACTGTGCCTGTGGAACAGTTATTGAATAAAAACCAGTTTCTGGTGAAAAATTACTTAAATAAACCGGTTTAATTTGTAAAATTTGTCAATAAATAATTAAAAGATTTAATAACAGAGAGATGTGCATGTGATTATTCGTCTGCAAGAGCCAGGTTTAAAAAATGTTGAAACATTTTATCAGGGTATATATTATCACAGTTTACAAAATTATACAAATATTTTAACACTAGTTTAAAATTAAATAGAGAAAAAATATTGTTTGTACTAAATTGTCAAAGGGCATTTGATGTGAGGTCTACACCAAATCTAAAAGCTAAAAAAAAACTAGATGCAAAGGTTGATAACAGATTAAGTTGTAGATTCTAAGATAGTAAAAAATGTATGGCTATGGCTACACGAATAAAAGCTACAGATTTGAGAAAAGACACAATATTGTAAGCTAAGTCAATATTAAGGTTTGTTTTACAAAATGTATAGTCAAAACCTCAAGCTAAAATATCATACCTTAAAACCATAACCCATACTGTTAAAGGAATCGGTTCTGCTAAGTTGCCCGTTTACTCTGATGAGTTTTAGAGAACACTCACTGTCACTCACTTAAACACGCACACCCTCATGGACAAGCCTATGTGTTCGCTGGTCTAATGGTGACTGACTCACCTACTAAATATTAATTCCAATGAATGTAATGTTTAAATGTTCAATGTAAGGCTATTATTTGATTTTAAGCCTATAGATTTTTTAAAGAGCCCAAACACAAATGTTTTTACGAGTACAACATTCCTATGAGTTTCACTGAAAGTTAATTAATCAACTTTTTATGCCTATAGAACTCTGTCTGTATCTTTTATAAATAATTAATCTTAAACAATTGGCCTACAAAAAATAGAGCATTTAATTGAATACTTAAAATCAATATATTTCTGGACTAAGACCTAGTAGGCGAGTCAGGTCTAGCCACAGTTAGGCCGGTCCGTGAAAGTGTATGTGTGTGAGGGTCGCCTAATTCTCTTAGCTCACCAGTAAATGGTCACAGAATACCTATAGTACTTTTTTTTTTAATAAGAACCATTAAAACTTGAACAAATAAACAATACAATTTAAAATTCTTGAATATACCATTTTAATAAAGAATTAAACTTGTAATAATTATTAAAACTATTGAAACACTAAAACCCACCACATTTCAAATCATTTGATGATTTTTTCCTAAATGTATGATGAGGCGTTTGGTAACCAATGTTCAAGACAAACACAAAAAAATTTCACAAAAAAAGGAAAAAAACAAACATTTGCATGACAGACTGATAAATTAGTAGGCCTACCTACTGAATCAATGAAGCAATAACCGGTCATTTAATTGTGAGGAAAAGCAAATTCTGATAAAAAGCATTCAAGGTAAAAACAAAAACGGGGATCATTTACATCCACACAAGACTCACTTTAACACATAGCCAGGAGGAGACAAAGCCCTAGAGAAACAGTGATTTGTCAGCATCTTGATCATGTACTGTATACATATCTAGTCTTGTTCTCATAAAATAAAAATCTCATCAACATGTATAAGCTGTGGTTATAGATTATTAGGCAGAAAGAACATACATACGTTGAATAAGACACTTACAGAATGTACTACTGAAAAAATTCTATTTTCTCTCTTAGTTGGTGATTACAATAGCTTATGTGGGTTAAAAGATGTTATTGATTACAATGAGCAAAAAATTCAGTCTGGCTTGGTCATAAAGTGGGACAACACCCCACTCTTTTGCTGTCTCATTTTAACTAATTTTATTTTTATTCTAGAACTAACCAACAACTTTTATATGGATGTTAAATACTGATGGTCCTATGCCTTAACAATAAGTCTAAAAGTGAATGCACATACACCGAATGAGTACAACTGCAAAACAACACAGTAAAATTGTATGTTCCAGTATCATAACCAACAATCTTAAGATCTGAAAGCAAGCACGAGGTCGGCCGGACAGAAGCGACCTGCGCGAGGAATTATCGCGTATGTAAGAGGAGGTCGCTTTCTAAGCGGCCGTACCATACATATTTAAGAGTCTTCCTTAGTGGAAGCCATGTTGGATTTTTTCCCCATAAGAACAATGTTAACTTTGGATCCCTATATCTCATTAGCGAATTGTCATATAAGCATGGACAAGGAGTTAAATTAAAGGTATTGCAGTCCTCTAGTGATTGACGTTTTTAATTTTACAATTTTTACTTTTTATGATGAATAATTGATTATTAATTAACTTAAAATTCAACTAATTATTGAAAGAAAATGAAGACGCATTTTCGAAATTCAAAAACGTCAGTCTCGAGTCTATTATGTTATAAATAAAAGTTATAAATTTCAAAGCGATGTCTGAACAAATAACGCCGTTACGTGTCCACAAATTGAGTAATGTTCTGATTGAAAGGCCACTGATCGGCGCGCAGTCTGGTGGCAAAGAGAACAACATATTCGGCGCGGAGTGATACAATAACATGTCCGGTGGCGGGTGTTTGGTGTTTTTGAATAAGAATACTGAATGGCTGGTTAAAATTTGTTTAATTGTTTGAACGTATTATTACAAAGCATGTAAATTTTAGATTTGATTGCACTTACGGGAAATGCATTTTCATTTTTTTTATTTCTCAGGTATATATTTTGTGAAATACAGTAACATTACTGAATTTTTTAACAATAATATTGTACTTGCTAACTGAAATTAAAGTCAGGAGGTCGGTTATCAAACATACAATAGGCTTAATAATGTTAAGCATTACTAATTAATTAAATAGTCCTACAGCAGTCAATATTAAGGTTTGTTGCGCTATATTTAGATACAGTATTTTACTTTATTACCGTAAATTTTAATTACTTTACTGGTTTACAAAACTTGCATTCGACATCAGATGTGTTTTGTTTGAAACCAAACCAAACCAAACTCATTCGTTGTCCAAAAATCACCCTCTTCCAAGTAAGGCTATAACGGTACATTGCAAAACTAGAAAGTTGAAATTCTCAGAAGTCATCAGAATGTCCGTGTACCCCTGCGCCCATCCCTTGCAGTGTCAGTCTCCAACCAGCTTGTCTTGTGCTGAGTGCGTGAAACTGTGCAAATTTGTCTAGTAGAATAGCAGTTCATTTTACAAGTTTAAATATTTAATATCTTTACGTAATTAGTTTTCTTTTTCACTGTTAGTAGGGTAGTCTTTATTTTTTATTATAATTTCATAATAGTAAGGTAGTTATTTACAAAAAATGGGTAACAGGAGAAATCGATCGAAGAAAAAAAAACGCAGGACCGGAAATATTTTGGCCGAATGGCGAATTTTAAAAAGTTTCGGTCTTCACAAATCTTCAAATTTGACAGTGAAAAACATCGTGTGCGACACGCAGAAAATGGACGTTATTCAGGGTGAAGTGGACAGTGTGCAAAGAACAATTGACGTTATTCAGTGCGAGGTAGGAAACATCGCAGAGACGGAACCTTCATCTTTGATACCAGAACGAGATGATCAGAACAATGAGGTAGGCCTAGGTGTAGAAACGAGTACCACGGAATCGTTTTCTCAACACATTATCCAAGAAAAGCTTTTGGTTGGTAGGCGAATCGTCGATATTAAGTGGTTCTTGGACGAAATAAAGAAAATGAGCGACCACGGCATAGCGTTCGGATGTTCGTTCACTAATATGTGTTTTCAAAGCGAAATTTGCCGTGGGCTGCGAAGCGGGTTTATCTTTAGATGTAATATGTGTCATTTTCGATATACACTTTGGAGTGAACCGGAAGCTAGCAGCATGGACGTGAATACAGCGGCAGTGGCGGCAGTGATGGGTGCCGGTGGTGGATTCACCACTCTACAGCAACTGACGGCGGGCATGAACATCAGATGTATGAGTGAAAGGACGTACGCGGCCCAACACGCCGCGGTCTCTGAGGGATGGGAGAGTACGGCGCTGGAGGAGATGAAGGCGGCGGCCGAGGAGGAGGCGTCGCTGGCAAGGGAGCGAGGAGACGTCGACAGGCACGGCGTTCCTCTACTGACTGTTGTCGCCGATGCCAGCTGGGCCAAGCGGTCTTACAGAACCAACTTCAGCAGCTTATCTGGCGTGGTATGTTTTATGTCAGTTCCTTATAAATAAATTAATAAATTTATTATGGACTTATCCGTCCAGAAGCATAGAAATCATTTTCTTGCAAATAATTAATGCCAAGTTGCAGAAAATCTGTTTATTAAAAGTATTAAAAATGTTTAATATTCATACAATATTTACCCAATAACAAAATGTCGGGTACTGATTAATATTGTGCAGTTTATATGTAACTTAAAATCAGGCCCTGTTTTAGGCCTATTACAGCATAAAACAGTTTTTAGGGTAAGATAGTAGGTAGATGAAAAACCAACTACAATGAACAAATAACTAGAAACTGGATCAGTCCTAGTAACTTAGTCTGCGGTAAAGACAAACAATTTGTTGTTTGTAAAATAAAGTATTGAACTATTACGTCTACGTCTGTTCTATTGTTTGAATAAATTTTTCAGTTTCTGAGATGCTACGCTTTTAATAAAAATTAATCACATTTTAATTTAACTTGAAAAATTAATCGCAACATAACTCAAGTAAAAATGATCTGACTGATGAAATTTAGCACTTACGTGTACAAAAAACGTTCATTCTAACGAGTTCGCGAACCAGCATGATCAGACAATGAAACGGAGTTATCGTTTACATTAATTTTTATCTCGGAACTATTAACAATGCAGTTTTCACAATTGATCCTCCATATTTTTTTTATTATTCTTATTCTAAATTTTATGTAGAATACGAAAATGACATCATCTACTCAAATCCATTTACAGGTTATTATAAACATGTTATTTTTAACTCTGTATATACATATACAGGGTGTTTTTTTTTAACTTGCATCTTCATTTATGTAAAAACCGCAATAGATAGAAATATGCAGTTAGCGGGAATCATCTATTGACGTAGGGGGCACATTTTTTTTTAATTCAACGTTACATTCACATTCGCCCCTTTCCCCCCTGCCCCCAACTTATTTCTTTTAAATAGCAAGGTACCCCTTGTGACATATCAAATGAAAGAGCATGAAAAAAGAAAATTTTTGGTGAAAAAAAAATTAAAATGAAGGCTCATGAATTTGTGAGATAATCCCCCCCTTTTCCGGGGGTGATAAATTAAGTTCCGGGGAAGGGGGGGGGGAAATATCTCGCAAATTTATGAACCGATTTTAAATTTTTTTCATCAAACATTTTCTTTTTTTATGCTCTTTCATTTGATATGTCACAAGGGGTACCTTGCTATTAAAAAAAATTAAGTTGGTGGCAGGGGGGGAAAGGGGGGGATGTGAATGTAACGTTGAATTCAAAACAATTGGGCCCCCTACGTCAATAGATGATTCCCGTAAACTGCATATTTCTATCTATTGCGGTTTTTACATAAATAAAGATGAAAGTTTAAAAAAAACAACCTGTATAGTAGTCCATAAATAACGGATGACTTTTAAACTATAGTCAATCAGTCATTGTTACGAGGAGAACTGTCATTGTTGTATTAAACAACTAATCATGGACCGTTGGACAGTACAAAAACTACTTGTATTGTTTAGTCTATGACCTTACATTTTGCATTGAAGCACATTTTAAAAATAACGAGTCTGTGATTGCTATATCCAGCGGTTACTTGGCAATTATTTCAACGTCCGTCGTCATGAAGCGGTTCCATAAGAATGCTATCTATAGGTGGGTGATTAAAAGAGCTAAGTGACCTGTTTTCAAGAATAAACCTCCGGGGAGGTAAAAGACCGTACGTACAGATGTACATGTTTATGTTTATGATCCATACCGGTATTTTTCTAGTATTCATGGAATATTCGCAAGAGTTCGGGAAATGATTAGGTACTCAAATGGCACGTCATTTGCTTTTGTTTAATACAACAATGAACATCCTATGAGTAACTCAGCTGATTTAAATATGTTTTAAAATGATCAGTTATTTTCATGGACTACCCTTTATGCAGAGTGATTGATATAAGTGTGCCAGCTATTTTATTAGAAAGTTATAGGAGATATAACAAAATGTTAAATTGTAACTGGCTTTGAATTTTTGTTTAAAAAGTTGCGATCAAATTAAAAAAATAATTTTAGCCGCCATTTTTTTCAATATGGCCACCGGCTTTGATTATTATTTGAACTTTGATCATTAATAGTAGTTCATATTCTATAAAGACATTTTCCTGTATAACACCAAAATATATCGTTTTTACAGGGAGCTATCGTGGGATTTCACACAAGGAAGGTGCTCTACATCGGCGTCAAAAACCGCTACTGCTTCAGTTGTGACCGCAACAGAAACGAAACTCCTAGACAACACAAATGTTTCAAAAACTGGAACGGTAGTTCGTGTAGCATGGAGTCATCGGCAATAGTTGAAGGTTTTTTGAGCAGTGAA